AGACATGAACCCCTGGCCTCTAAATCTTTCTCACCGAGGCTAAAGAAGGTGGACAAAGTCGTGAAAATAAAATCCTAAAATATGACTTTCCATCTGAATTGAGCAATGACAGTGAAAGACAAATACCAAAAGAGACAGGAGCACAGCTGGAGGAGGAGGAGGAAGAGCTGGCTGGAGTTGGGGTGTGTTGTCAGACCCCTGGTGGAGGATGAATCAGAGTTTATTTTATTTTATTTTTTTCGCACTGACAACCCTAAATAACAATCTTTGAAACAGTGAAGTCTTAGAGGAACAGGCTCAGAACATCACTGTTTTGGATGCAGATGATGACTTTTCGAAGGAGGATTGGCTCTCCTTAAGTCCAGCTCTGTCAGAGACACTAATCAAACAGCTTCAGATAGAGTTGAAGTTTTATGGGGGACATACAACAGGAACTAGAAACAACTCTGAATAGCTAGCGTGAATCGGGGATTAAATCAGAATAAACACCCACCTGAAGAAGGATTGCAGGAAGAATCAAGGTGTTTTTCATCTGAAAATTTGCAACAAAATCAACAATCAACTTTTTTGCAAGACTGAGAAGAAAGTTCTTGAACTTGGTTTTTAAAAAGGACGAAGTAGGCCTATCCATGAAGCTGCTGATTGACAGAGTGGGTTGATTTGTGGATGCCGTGATCCATGTAAATGGTAAGGCGGAGAGGAAAGGCACAGATGTGATGTGCCTGCACAGACGGATGGTCAGAGACATCACCAACAGTCTGTTTGAAATGACTGAGAGGCAGCTGACTGAGTCCATCATCTGCCAGCTGACACAAGAAGTAAAAGGTCTATTTCATGGGATTCTTCCGCACTGAAGTGGACATGTTTATGAAATGCATGTGGAACTGACTCAACCAGCAGGCAGAACAGCATGGGTGACGGAGAGACCGCACCACTGCTGCTCTGAGATGGATGGAGGGAGTTCTAGAGGCAAGTAAAGCTTCCACATTGGGAAGCAGTGTAATAGAGATTATACTTAACGCAGCAACACCAGCTCCTGTCACTGGTGAGCCAGCTATCTGTGACATCAGCTAAGGACACTGTGCAGCAGCTAGAGAATCACAGAGAATCACAGAGAATCAAAAGTTAGATAAAATGGCCCTCAAGATAGCAGTAACAGAACCGATTTACTGGATTTTGAATAAAATTCTGACTAATCAGTCCAACAGCACCACTGAAATAACCAAAACAGCATTGATGGAGACGTTCTGGATGGAGATGGAGGGTTGATACTAATTTGAGAAGTATCAGCATTAAAAATATAGTTATAACGTTATCCATATCTGAAAAAAATGGACTTACATAGAGTAGAAAACAACCTTCAAATAAGGGTCTGATTCAGGTCTCCCTCCAAACTTTGCTCTGACTGTCACCATGACATGTTCCTATTTTATATCATTAAACCTTGAAAAAAAATACAAAAAAATGGACCTTTGACTGCTGAGGGACATAAATGTACCTTTTAAGAAAAAAAAGAAGTCATCTTGAGCCCCCCAAAGAAAGCCCTAAGGGGTCTATTAGTGAAAATTGTACCCAGAGGAAGAGAAATGGACCCCCTCCACACCTTCAGTTCTGATGGTGGATACAGCACTCAGCAACAGACCCTGAGCTGCGGTAAGTGGACCTAATAGTTCTCTGACTGACTGGTCTGTCTTTCACTGTCAACAAAACAAAAGTTAATGCTCAGAAAACTCAGGTAACATCCAGAGAATTAAAAAGTTGTATAGACAACTTTGAATAGTCCAGAGGAACGGAAGAGAATTGCTTTCTTACCGAAAGATCAATAAATCTGTGAGGAAATGAAGTGAGGCTTATGTGTGCCCACATGGGTGAACGGAGGACTTGTTGAAATCAACAGTCTGAGCTGTAGTAAAACAGACAGCTGGAAGCCTTTTTTTGCATTTTAATGTTGACATTTTTAGGGGGTTGATTGCAAATTTATCAGGCTGGTTAAATGCAAATTCATCAGGCATAACTTTGGTAGTATTTTATTAATGTGAGTCAGGTACCCTTTTGGAATCATTTTCTTTTCCTTTCCTTTTTTGTTTTTCGCAGTGGAGAACCTTCCTACAAATCACACCATGTAAAACATAATATTTTCATTTGTATTCCTCTGAGAAATGTCAGTCTTAGGTTTTCATTTGTAGGGTATATAAACAGGAGCACTGTTCAGAGTAAGTTTAGTGCTACGTTAAAATAATCTGTCAATAATATGTCCATCTAGAGCCAGCTGGCTTCATATTAGACATTACTGGTTCACAACAACTACCAAATAGGAAAGACATGCTTTTGTTCACCTTTTATAACTCCAGGCCACATGGTCTAACTGCTCTCCTGATGTTTAAGTATTTCAGCTTTCAGTCTGTGTCCATTTATGGGCAGTCAAATGTTTGCAGGTTCATCTGAAATTTGAAATGTCTCCGTTCTTCTCGGTCTAATTGAACTTGGACCACCTCTTCAGCTGAACTAACATCAACTTTGCTGTATATTTGTGTTCTCAAAGCAAGGCCTGTTGGACTGACTACAATAACATAAGCAGACTGACAGTGATTACTTGGCATTAACCACTGTTGTGTGTCTGGAATATGCTGACTAATGACTCATTAAGAAAATTTTAAGTCTGTGTCAGATGAGTCCTGTGCACCAAATCAACTGGAGCTTTCTCTCTCACGAATACACAGCACACACACAGCACACATCTTTTTTTTCCATAATCTGCACAGTCAAGTATTTACATTATTTAACAGAAGTCAAGGGCTTGTGTATATTTTGATGACTCATCATGCCCAATATTTCCTACCAGGGTGTAATAATGAAGCAGCTGCTTCCATAGAATTGTGTGAGAATGTGGAGGTAATGTAGAGAAAGAGATGAAGAGAATAATGAGCACCCATTGAATTTCTCCCATCCTCAACACAAACTTACACAACTATCTAAAATGGCATAATGATTTAAAATAGCGCCTGTGAGATTACTACAGCACAGTGTGCACGTTTTCTACAGCTTAAGTGATGTGCTTATCACCAATACAGCTTCCTTATCAACTAAACACACTGGAATGAGTACATATTCATGCTACGGCCTCACATCAAGAGGAAGCAGCTTTTAATGATAGCACGCACCACAAAATACAAATAGTTCTCATCTGTGCTCATAACGAGGAAGGAAGTGAGCTGCAGAATACTGTTTAATAAGGGTTTTATGTGTCATCTGTGCATGGCTTAAAAATACATTTTGATTGAGGCTATGTGATCCTGATGTAGATGTCCAGCGTCTACAGAGTGTCAGAAAAAAAATGATTAGAGAAAGAAGAGCAAGTATTTGGGATTCAATTGATGTTTAGAGGATGATTAATTTCACTTAATATTACCACAAAAGCAGGGCAGATAGCCTTTTTGCAAAAAAGAAATGAAGGTGCAGTGCAACTACTAGAACATGAAAGGTAATGAGAGATTAGAGGTGAATGACCAAACATAAGATCTTCTGATCCTATTTCAGGACTAAATGTAAGGTATTTTCAGCTCTGTTCACTTTCCACTTGATAGGGAATGAATCTAGGATATGTTACAGTTACTATCCTTGGTGGGTAAAAGTATACAGCATATTTCAAGATGTTTTGCACAACCTGAGTGCCCTCCTGTGGCAGTGAATGAGACTACACAGACTCAATAAGGACTGCAAGATTTGGTGTCTGTGCATTTATTTTAGCAATCTCAGTTAGCAAATATTCAACTCATCTGTCCATCAGTGGCTTAAACTGGTTTGTCCAGCATAAGATAGAAAGACACTTAATTTCTCCAATGATTGAATGGATGAAATGAAAATTACGGAACTAGATAAGCAATTTACTTATTTATATTTTCTGAAGCAAACCATATAAGCCATAATTATATGTATATGCTGTACACATGTATATAAGTTTCTTTATCCTTTAATTTCTCTTTTATAAAGATACATCTTATCTTATACAAGACTGTCTTTAATCTCTTCAGTTCATTAGCAGAGTTTTAATCAAAATAAAAAAAATTTAAAAAGGAAAGAAAGAAAAACAAAACAAAACAGAGGAGTCCCCACATTGCACAGTTAGTCACCAGGCCCCATTTTTAATTAAACAGAGGTCCGATTTTACAGCTGTCATCACATACATTTTGTGATGGCGTTTTGTGATACATTCTCTGTAAGATTTGTTCACCGCAAAATTTTCAGTGATGGGCTTTTCTCTTTTCCTTCTGGAAAAAAAATAAAGAATAACACCCCAAGAATAATTAGAAACTCCCCTTTATGCAGTAGGTTATATCCAACAGCCTGTACATATAATCCTGAAAGGATAATATGATAGGTTCAGTACAGCAAAAGCAATTTAAAAAGTAATTTTGTGTTATTTTGTTTTCCTTTTGAACATCTTAGTTGAGTCTTAATGTTGAATCAAATTAACATCAGCTACCGTGACCTGGATGTGTAAGAGCCTACTCAACTGAATTCATGCCCTTTACAAACACAATTACACAGCCTAGTTATGTGATGTCTTATTCCAGTAATGTTTATTGGTACATTTTAATTGTTTTGCAATCAACTCATTTAACACATGCTGAGCAATATTGTTCTTATTTCTCGCGTGTGATATTCAAACAAGGTACAATTGTCATGTCAAGTGAGTGTAGCTTGTATTGGGTGCAAGTGAGTGAGAAATTATTGCAAGAAATGTGACAAATAAGTTTTGATTTGATTCGACTTGATTTGATTTATTTGTAACGTGAAGCTTCGATGTAAGATGGTTGGATAATTCTAATGATGAGAAACAGCAGGATGGAGACGGCTAACTTTCTTAGCAGCACTTTTACTCTTCAGCCATCTTGTCATGCCCACAACATACTAACACAAAAACTTTACATCTTGGACAACCCTGATCACCTTCACAGCACTTACCAATCAGAGGCTAGGACCTCAAAGTAAATGTAAATGAACCTCAGAAACACATTCGGCATAGTCTGCTAACCCTCACAAACAGCTGCAGAGAAAAGCATTTAAACTTATATTACCAGTCTACATTTAATATAAAACTGTTGAAAACATGGGAGAACATGGTAGTCTTGTTCACAGTGGCAGGGTGCGCTGTCTATTCCAGTACAGCAGATGGAGATGTCACGGTTTGCTGGTTGGGATCCACAACACTGCCGAAGAAAAAGGAACAGCAACAACAATAAAAACAGTATCAGGAAGCGTCAGTTTAGTCTGCTTGGTGCTCTTGACGAGACCTTCCAAAACTGTACGAACGATTTTATTGGGATTTACTTTTCGGACAGGGTCAGTTTCGTTTTGACTGTGTAGTTTTAGGAGTTCCGGGAAGTATGGAGTCACTTTCCGATGCAGCTGGTCGCCTTAACACTGAAAATCCAAAGTCCTAAGGTTACATGAGTGTTGACGACCATGTGTTTTCCACAAAACATGACAGGGGGCCGCAGGTAACATTACCTGTTCTCCCTCCATCGTGGTAATGCTGAAGTGAGTTGGCTGGTGTGACCCAACTCTAACAGTTGCTGTGTTCCGAGTTTTAATGAAGACAGAGAAGACATGGGTGATGTGATAGTGCTGAGCTCCGGTAGTGATGAAGAGGACTCGGATGTGCAGATCGTGGGCTCTTACAGTCACTTCATGACCACAGCGGACCCTCTGCCGCTCTCTCAAGTACGAGTCGACGTTGACGCCCTGAATGTCAACGTCCCAATGGTAAGCCTGTCCAGCTCTAACGGCAATGAGACTTAACCGAGAAACCATTAGCTTACATACAGAGAGAAACACACACAAAAACACAGAATAATCTGCACTCACTCGTCATTCTCTATCAGGTAAAGCTTTATCACCTCTCATTTCTCCTGGCAAGACTGTCAACTTGAGGATATGAGCTGAAAATACAACATTTTACATTTTCTTTATGTTTAACGGGATAGAAAACCCAAGATGTTAACGAGCTGTTTCTGCTATAAAAGTGATTAAGATATTTCCAAGTTGACAAAGAGTACCATATTTAATTCACTGTAGGTCGCCATAAGCAAGTTGTGTTGAAATATGTTTGTTCCATATTTTCTCAGTACAAATATGCTCAATGTAGTCTTTGGACTCACTTAAGGGATACAAGTTTTCGTTGCCATGGCTATAATGAAGTAACTTCTCAACAGAGGCAGATCTAGAATTTGCTGAGTCTGGTGGCCCATCTCCATGTGTATGTTTCTGTGTCAGAGTCAATTCATTTAGGACTTGAGATTTTTGATGAAATTCACAATTGAGAACAAAAGGAAACAGTTATGTTCTGCCTTTGAAAAATCTTACGATAATCCTGAGTATTTGCCTGCATACTACGAGCATGAAATGTGTATTGCATATTGCTAAACTTTGCTCTATCTCTAATCACTGATAGACTATAGTAGTGTTGTACAACTTTGAGATAGGGATGCACCGATCTGCTTTTTTCACCTCCAATACCCATACAGATATCTACAGTTTGGTATTGGCCGATACCGATCCAATTCCGATACAGAAAATTACGATTACCTTTTGTTGTAGCCTGAAGTTTTACCACTGCCCCTTGGAACGTTTACTGCGCAGGTATTGCAAGTGGCCGTTGCGCTTGTAGGCTTGTGATGAAGTTCAAGATAGCAGACCCCTTTGCTCGCTCCGTTTTGAAAACAATGTGGACATCCACTCAGCCTGTTTACTTGTGGATACCACTCACAGTGCATAGCATAGAGTTAGACTGAATAGATTGGCCCCTATGCATCGGGCCCATTGTCACGGTACCTGATCTAGAATTTTCTTCAGTATCAGCACCGATACCAATATTAAATATCGGAACAGTGCATCCCTACTTTGAGATTGTGTCATTTGGTAGTCCTGTTCATTAACTTGCAACTGTTGTCCACAATACTTATTCCTTTGAGAACAGGAATACATGTCAGAACAGTGAATTGTTAAAAAGAAAAAAAATATTAATGAGAAGTTATACAAACAAGATTTTCCAGATGTGTTTTCAAGACTAAAAAGGCGTTCTAATATTTTTGTCATTCTCTTTTTTTCTTTTTGCAGCAATACATCAACCTCACAGATCCGAAATGGACTCTTCCAGAGCTAAAGAGACACAAAAGAAAAAGTTTAACAGTATCAGCAGTGGTGGACTTGACTATGAACGAGAAAGAAAAAGTAAAAGAACAGGAGATAGTAGATTTGCCATCAGGCAATAATCAAGTAAAAGAAGAAAGCAAAGATGGAAATGTTTTGGATAAAAAAGACTGGGAGCTAAAAAAAAGGTCTTCAAGTGGCCTCACTGCACAAGAGCAAGACTCCTCGAACTTTAAGCAGGAGCACACTTCTCATAAAAATGGATTTGTACCAACTGTACAACTAAAGCGACTGTCGTTTCTTGGAAATCATGCCACTGAAATGAAAATGTCAAGTGGTTCTGTCTTCTTAGACAAAGACTGTAGACAAACGTCACTTAAAATCAGCCAACAAGGCATAGTTGGTGAAACATCACAGTGCGACAGCAATCCGACAACTACCACATCGAATGGTTTCCACACAAAGAGCAAAGTAGATGAGTCTCCTTTTCAGATTACTGAGTCTCCTGTCAGACAGGAACAACAAATATTTCAGCTTTTAGACAGCACTGTTGCAGATTCCAGGAAGAACAGCACTTTAAAAGATGCAAGAGATGGCTCATGCCCAGAGGTGCTTCCCGCTTCTCCATTATCACCTTTTTCATCAGATGACAAAGCACACAATTCCTCACAGAGAGCATTCCTCTGCTACAACTTGGAACTACGGTCCCCAAATGAAGAGGACAATGCACAAAGCTGTCTTTCTGATCATGCATCCCTACACTTTTCTGCCATTAGACTAAATCCGCCTGAGCACAATGACCTCAACTCTCAGCCCCAAACAAGCCCCAAATCTCAGAACCACATGAGCCAAGTTTACCCAGAGCCCTCCTCTGAACATGCAACAGCTGAGGACTCATCTAAATGGCAAACAAAAGAGTCTAAAGCTGCAGAGGCATCAAACAGCTCTGACCTCCCGAGCTGGAGCATACCCAGTGAACCTCTTTTGTCAGTACCCAAAACTGAGGACATGGACAGCAAATCTAGTAGGGACCTGGAAATTGATAGCCCACTGTCTTTTCTTTGGCAAGAGGGGATTGAGGAAGAAGAGGAACACACCAAAAGCAGATTTGACATGGAGTTCAGGGCAGCCAGCATCGAGGACAGGCATTTTGTCAGCCCAGTTACAGTGAGGAAAATGATGTCCAGAGTCGGACCAGCTCGAGCCATGGTGAGACACATCAACCTCAGCCCACTTTGATTTCTAAAAATATTCTGTGGTTAACCCAGACCTCTAACTACACAAGTCTTTTTTCTGTTTCTGCCTATAACCATTACTCCTTTACATTTGATTGTATCTTAGGTTAAATGCATGTTTTTTCTTTGTTTTTTCTTAGACTGATGAGCAAGAAGGTATAGGATCCCCAGAGGTCCTGTGCCGTAAAAGTTTGAGCCAGGTGTACAGTACCATGGATGTGAACTATCCAGAGGGCACTTTGCAGCTCTTGTCTGACCTGCTAAAGCCCGGTTACTACCCTCCCAGGAATGTCACCTCCCACCTGCTGCATGGCATTCTGCTGGACCCACAGTGTCCCTATCACCTGTGTGTGGAGGCTTTTAATCTGCTAATGAGGACACAAAGGTGAGAGATTTATTGAAGTAGGGGTCAACGATAACGTTTTAAATCTCAAGCACCCTGTCTGTGTTTCACTGAAGACCTCACTCTGTTTGCAGACATCACATGGCTGATAAAACCAACATTCCCTGGGACTGGGAATCGTTGAGTACTCTTATGGCCAATCAGGTACTATTAATGTTTTAATACATAATAAAACTGATTGATGTTCATCAGCTAAATGCCATATCAATACAGAGTATCCTAAGTCTTATGAAATGGGATTTTGGTTGTCAAGTGGCTTGCCAAATCTTGCCAAATTGGCAGGGCTGGGTATTGTCTAGAACAGGGGTCAGCAACCCGCGGCTCTGGAGCCGCATGCGGCTCTTTCTTCCCTAAGCTGCGGCTCCCAATGGATTTGGAAAATAAATAATAAATACTTAATTGCATTTTATTTTATTTTTTTTTATTTTATTTTTTGTAATTCTAAATTCAAAGATTATAATGCTCTTGTAACTATTAGGGCAACAACGAATTGATTAAGTAGATTCGTCGTGACGAAAAAATCCGTTGCCAACAAATTCTGTTGAATATATTCTTTATATATGTCCATGGACAACGGCGTGTAAACATCAGCAGGACGCACAGAAAAGAAACAGCCATGGCCGAGGCAGCGGCTGAGAAAACCATGGACACAACCCAACCCAAATCCCGACCTAAAACATCAGTGGTGTGGGAAAACTTCACCAAGACTGAAAAGGAAGGCGTTCAGTGCAACATTTGCAAAGACCGTTTTGCATGGCTCGGGAGTACATCGATGATGCGTGAGCACAGGGCTCTCAAGTCTCACGCATTCAGCGTATGACACACGCATTCCCACTCGTTCACACGCTCACACACCACACAGTGTATTTCTCACGCATTTAAATGAACACGGTGATGTCCACCAAGTTGCACTTCTTCAACTATGGAACTGGGGGAAATCAACTGAGTTCCTCCGAGAGTTCAGAAGCTGCGTGCCACGCACAAGCCAATCAAATAAAGTATATCTACTGAACAGCCAATCAAAAAGCAGCATTGCTGTATCCAGGTAGATTTTGATATCTTGCGGTTTAACTACAGAAGAAGACAGACACTCGCCGAAATAGTTCATTTATTTCATAAATGCAACTCGCTACAGTTTTTTATATACTTTGTATAAAGGTAAAAAAAAAGATATATGCAATGTTATCTTCATTTTAGATGTCAAAGAGGTTTTGTGGCTCCCTGTGTTTTCTTTTCTGTGGGAAACTGGTCCAAGTGGCTCTTTGAGTGTTTAAGGTTGCCGACCCCTGGTCTAGAACTTCACAGTTCATCTCAATTTCAATTCTTTGTGTCACAATTCAATTCAATTCAATATTGATACGTTTAATTATTGACCAATATCCTAGAATATCAAAGATATCTGAATTTAACTAAAGACTTTGGGCATATAATTTGCTGTGAAACATTTTTAATCTCTCACACATATAGTGATATGAGCACAGGGTTAGAAATATTTATTGAAAGTGTTTTATAGACAAAGGATTGATAACGGGAATGTCTGATTGACACCGAATTGTAACAGATAGTATTACAATGCATATGAATCATTTTTTTATATGCAGCCCTGCTGATTGGCTGAAAAACAGTATGATGGATGAATTACGTTAAAGGGAAGTAGGATGTAAAAGATTATTGAACTTTTTCTGCTTTATCTCAGATAAATTAATGACAAACTTGCCAGTTCAGTCTCGCATAATCAGGTTATGTTTTTAAAAGCCAATCCTGTGAGTCAGTGTCTGCTGTTGTATTTGCTGTTTATACTTTCATTAGGGAAAGTAATAGTATTCGACAGTTTTACTCTGCTCATCTATGTTGATATGTTAACGGCCTGTATTTGCCTCTTTGGCTCCTGTAGGACCACACAAAGAAACATCGGACTGAGGTTGTGCGCATGTTCCTGGAGTACGTTGTGCAGACTTTGGAAGATGACTTCCAAGTGAAATATTCTTCCTCTTCCCTCCAACACTCCATTGCAAAGGCGACACTGTCATGTGATCAGCAGTTCCCTCGTGTGAGGTAAGTTTGGTAAACAACCAAATCAGAGGGTTTGCCAAGCAGGCACTACATACAGTCTAATCATAAAAGTGAACTGTTTTTGTTCACATTTTAGAAAGGGAAAGTTTTCCTGTGGTTTTAACTTGTATTGCAAAATACTGATATATGTTTCTGTTAAAAATAACCAGTATAAGAGGTTTTAAACACAGAGAATTACCCCCCACACACACGCACAAACTCACTCACTCTACTATTAACGATAAAGTTCAATTTTTCTTCTTCTTCTTCTTCTTCTACTTTTCGCCCTTTTTTAGCCTTCTTCTTCACCTTCTGCTTCTTCCTAGTTAAATTCATCACATATATACAATAGAACAGAACCACAGTATGCGAAGTTCACCACATTTAACGTGATGGATGGGACTCAGTACCTGTATGTTTTTTTTATTTTGAAGAGGAAATATTTTGTTATTTGTTTGTCAGGGAAGTCATCAAGTGGCTCATCTCTGTGATCGTAAAATCAGCTGAGCATGAACAAAGGAGAGAACTGGCCAGAGAGCGAGATGAACATATCAGGTCAGAAAAAAATAATACAAATTCATGTTTATTTTTTAGATCAATTTTTTGTTAAATTAAATTGAAGGAGGTGACACCATTGTTACTATAAAAAGATTATCTTTATTAAAGGACACTTTTAGTGGTGTTTTCACATTTGGATCATTCTCATCCACTCCCCTGCAGAATGGTGTCCATCCTCCAGAGGATGCTGTCCTTGGCTCTTGAAATTGACCGGTCTCCAGCTCTCACTTCTGCCAAATTGTCCCAGGAGCTATTCCATATGCTCATCGGAAATATGCCCATACGAACTCACAGGTGAGGAGGAGTATCAAAGTTTTATATTTCATATTTCAAGTAACACAAAAATGACATAAATATTATTGTCACCATTTATGTATACATTTGGAAACAGCTTTTTACCTAATAATCTGTAATAAACAATAGTTCATGTACAATTATCTCAATGGCAATATATGCCTCTTCTTTCTCAGTCTTCATGTTGTCATTAACTCGTCTGTTTTCAACGCCCAGAATGCTGTTGCTGGAAAGCCTGCAGAGTAAACTGTTGAGATGTAAGCTGTTGGTACATCTGTTGGACTATGCATGCCCACTGAAAAACTCTCCGCCCATGTCACTCAGTCTTCTGCTGCACTTTCTACATCACTGCACTCTGGCACCTGACCCCACGGTGAATATCATACTTGTTTTATCTTTTAGCCAGTAACATTCATTGATTAAGAAAAAGAGATCATGGGTCAGTCAGCCACGGGGTTTATTTATTGCAATACCATGCGGCTTGTTCAATGCAGTTGATCAATGATTTAATTCTGCAGGATGGTACTGAAAGGTGGAAGAAGTGGGAAGAATTGATCCATCTTCTCTGGATGTTCCTGCTCAGCTACAACAAAGCAATGACAGGTGAGATGTTGGTAAATATCAGTACACTGTGCCTCGTTTTTTGCAGGTATAATCATGACATGCTTTGAGAGGTAAATATGGTCTTACTGAATAAAAATGATGTTTTTACAGTTTTGACAAGTTAAACTTTTGCAGTTTTTGTGATCCACTGTATCAAAGACTTCCTTAAAGTCCTGACATATTGCTCTCACTACTTCACCTTTGTCCAGTGACTGCTTTATAGGTTTTGATTGGTGACCAGAAAAAAGGGACCAGACACAGTTAGACAAAAAAAAGGGCTTAGTAAAAAAGACATTGATCAAACTGAACAAAACAGACATGAAACAACAACAAACCACAACATGATATGAGAATTAGACTGGTACGTTGAGAATAAATGCCAAAGGAAACAGTCAAGGGACTTTATAATCTATATTTTATACAGGTTTTGCTACTATTTTCTGCATCTGTAAAAAATTGTAAAAAATTAAAAAGAAAAATAACAGAAAAACACTGAGGTTAAGACTTAATTATGATGGAAATTGGAACTTTTTTGTTTTATCTATAAGAAGGCTGGTAAGAAAACCATTGCCATGGAATCTTAATGAATCATCCAAACTGAGGGACTATGTTTTAGCTGTATAAAAAATATTAACTTTTACGTCAGTAGAATCATCTTGAAATCCATACTGTTAGTTTATTTAGTTTATTGTCAGGTAATGAGCAGGACGATGTTTAGTTGGACCTGGCTATGTGAAATTAAATCCCTTCTGTCTGGTTAAAACCCCTCCACATTCACACTGGGGTCTTGTCTTACAGGGCCAGGATTCCATTTTGTACAACCATCTGCATATTATACTGTTTTTGACTGCATGCAAATATGATGTTTTCATATCACACATGAGAGAAGGAGGTACATTCTTGTGCATCCTCAGGGTGAAACAATAAGACTCATGTAGTCTGGTTTAGGAGTTTGTGGTAATGAATAAAAAGGATGCAGCAAGGATATATTTACAGCAACTGCTAAAATTACACTGCACTGCTTCCGTTAAAGTTGCTTCTATATTATGAGGTTCCTGGTGTTAATCTAGCCCTAAGTTAATTGAATTTCATTATATGGCATTTTGGATATTTTGCTCTGTCAGCCATGAAGCCTAATATTCATACATTATTACATAAATTCAGATAAAAGGAGCCTCTCTAGATTTCAGTAGTGACTAGGTTAGAACTGAAACCAAATAAAGACCAGTCCTTGAGACTTGCACATAAATAAACATTCTTCACTTTAAGCTCACCCCTTGTTTTGAGGCTGTAGTCCTCATCACAGGAGTTACTGATTCGACTCCTGGCCATGACCATTTGCTGCATGACTTTCTTCTTACTCTCTACTCCCCACATTTCCAAATTTTCAGAATTTTTAAAAATATATTTTTCCTCCGTTCACTGTAAATTCTGTTTAATCGGAGACATCAGTGTTGGACGTAAATGTGGGTGTTTGTCAAAATATTACAAGAAATAGTCCTCATGGCAAATTTATTGACTACTTAGTTATTTAATGAAGCTTTTTTTAAAAAAAGTTTTCTTTTGGTAAGTGTATCAGAATCAAAACTAACATTTGTATTGACAAGGTCAGCTTTCCATCATGCAGCTTCCAGGAAACACTGTGTTTGGAGCCTGTGGGAAACCTCAGACTGCAGTGAATGCGCAATATGCGGTGTGATAGCGTGTGGGATTGCAGTGAACTGTTTTATTGGAACCTTTTTTTGTGCAGGAGCAAGAAAAGAAGCAAAAGCTGGAGTTCTGACTTTGGTTAAAATGATCAAACAAGTAGACAACTGGGCTGTCCATTCAGTCAACTACTGTCTCTCTACCGAACATTTTCTCAGCTAATTTTCCCACTGGTTGCTATTGTTGATTTATTTATTGATTTATTGTGCTAAATCCTCGTGTGTTAATGCTTGTTATGACTGAAAACCACCTGTACAAACTCCTTGTAGGGTCATTTTTATTAAAGTATGTTTGTGAGATTTATTGTTTTTTATGCACTGATCTCACCTGGAGTGTCACAAACACGTCACAATAACTGTTACACCTGATACACCACACCCATTAAACTTATAAAAGATTACCCAACTGTCCCAGAACCAGTTTAGTTTACTTTTAACTTCTATTATTGTGTTTACGCAGGCTATCTGTGCAGCTCAGTGGGAGAACAAAGAGACAGAGTTGGCTCTCTGGTCTACAAGCCGGATGATGTGGTGTCCAAAGCTGCTGTGCGTGAAGCTGTGGAAGCTTTTCTGACACGATCCAAGGCTGACCTTGGTCAGGCCTTACCTCTACATGTGGAAGAGTCCCTCACTTATCTACAGGATTACCTGCTAGATGTATGTCAGTGTTAAATGAAAGAATCTCTTTGTCTTCATTTTCATATCAATTTGTATGTATGATTTAATATTTATATTTTTTACAGTATGTACATAATTTGTATTTCAAATAAAGGCTGGGCCTTCTGTATTATTATTCCTATCAAAATGAATTAAAATGGATTCATCTTAGTATATATTTTTTTCCCCTGCATAAGCATATACAATTTCCAAACATAACCACATGAACAGTGCTTCGACAAACTACACAGCAACGGGAAAAACTAATAGTGTACATTTTTTCAAAGAAGCCACAGTAAATGGAGGTATAGTGTCCTGTGCTTCAATGATGTGACCAGTCACTCATCACTTAAAGGTTTTATTTACTCTGGCTCAACAGCTGGTTGGACCGTCTACGAGCTGACCAATAGGATCAGTCGCTGTTATCGCCAGAGGAGAAAAAAATCCTTACAGTCGCCATGATACAGCAGCGGAAACGGGCGAGAAGTAGCTAGAAAACAAAAGGAAACACGCAGTCGTCCTCGCGATCTGGTATGCTCTTGCAGGTAAAAATTCAATCTTTCCTCTACACCTGAAATGTTTGTACTCATTTTGCCGCGGTCGATTTCAGATGTTAAAGCTGCTTTGTCGTTTTTTCCGACGGAAGGCTTTTTAAAATAGGAAGTCGGTTAGCTTCGAATTATTGGGATCTGTTAGCTTCTGGCTAACAAGCGAACCCAAGCTAAGCTAAATAGCTCAGAGTCGCTTGCTAACCGAGCATTATGTCGCTTTGTGGGCTCGTTTGCTCGTTGTTTGCCTCGAGTGATAGTCTTTTTCTGGCCACGAAAGGCTAGCTAGCTGTAGCTTAGTAAAGCGCTGTTTCGAGGCCCAGTGGTAATGCGCAAGTCAGTGCTTTCCTATTATGTAAACAACAATTACACCGTTTATTTATAAATCACCCTGCACCATTAGTTCTTTCGCTTCTGAACCATCTTACGACGCTCTCGTGGACAGCTTCTTACTCAGTGTCACTAACTGAACACCTATTTCTATATTGATAGTTAGCAGGTGAGCTAGCGTTAGCCGTTTAGTGGTTGTTGTGTATAGTTTGATAGCCTCCTATTTAGGTTAAGCTAGGCTAATCAGCGAGCGTCCGTGAGGAGAGAAATCGACTATATGAGCCACTCTTTGCTTTTTCCCTCTGTGTCCTACAACAATTTTAACTAATTCTGACTGTACTTGATTGTTAACAGTCATTTAGACATGATTACCAAGAACATTTATTGCAGTATGTTGCCTTTTGTGCTTTTGATCATTATATAACTCACCAAATCACTGCTTTAATGTGAAGTTTTTAAGTGTTAAAATGAGTAAACGTACTTTCCTCATTAGTACGTTTCCTGTAATAGTGTCTGAACCAAAACCTCTCTCTTCGTGGCAAGAGTTGGCGTTTTATGTCTCTTCCAACACGTGCTCATGCGGTGGCTTTGCAAGACTTTCCATCCACATTTGATCACCTGTTAATGTTGAGCAGATGCACCACCTCTTAACTAGTTCACAATGTCCCAGCTGTAGTGTCAGGTCAAAAATAACTCAAACATATCACTGATGGCTTATCAGAGGATTGTATACTCGACTCATGCTTGACATTACATGTAAATATTTCTTGTGCAGTGTTATAGGAATGCCCAAGGAAAAATATGACCCGCCAGATCCTAGGCGGATGTACACAATTATGTCCAGCGAGGAGGCAGCCAATGGGAAGAAGTCATACTGGGCTGAGCTGGAAATCAGCGGTGAGTTTTAACATAAAAAATCCTCCTCCATGGGTAACTTAGCTGTGTCAGATTTTTACCTTAGACTTCCATGTTTCATGTTGGCACAGAGTTCGATAAAATCAATCTGTCCGTCCGATTCTGATATGCAAGATTGCTGTAGTAGTTATTTTACTCTAATGTGCAAAGGTCATAACTGTATCTTGCTTGATCAAATAAATGCAGGCCCACTCAGCAAGCCTCAGTCTGGTAGTGCAGTTAAACGAATCATTAATTTTTGCTGATTTCACTGTTAAATATGTTTGGTTTTTTTATCACTTGATGTCATTTGTCCCATCATAATTTCCTGTAGGTTCTTAATACCTCTGTTTGATCTGAGCCACAATAGAAAACTTATCAAATATATACTTTCTCTTCTGTTAAAATAAGACATAAAGCTTGGATCCACATTTTACCTGAACAGGACCTTCAGCATTAGTTGGTTTCCATCAGAAATGCTTTTTGAAGCAGTAAAGCGTCATCAAACTTGTTGCAAGCTAAATTTGCATTCATTGGCTAATTAATTAATTGGTTAATCCCTTCAGCTACAGGGCCAAACCTAGCTTCAGTTGTTTTGTCCGTTTGGTTTTGTAGGTTTATTTGACATCTACTTTGTCTGAAGTCTATTGTGTGCTAGTCATTTAGCACTTCAAACATTATAAATCTATTCACCTCTGTCATATGGTTTCAGTGGATCCAAGTACTTCAACTGAATTCCTGTGTTTATCCTTTTTCCAACTTAACTGCAGGCCGAGTAAGGAGTCTCAGCACAGCCCTGTGGTCTCTCACCCACCTCACTGCCCTGCACCTCAGTGACAACTCTTTGTCACGTATCCCGCCAGACATTGCCAAACTACACAACCTGGTGTACCTGGATCTCTCATCCAATAAGATCAGGAGCCTGCCAGCAGAGCTCGGCAACATGGTGTCTCTCAGGTGGGGCTTTAATGCTCGACATTCACCCCTGTCATAGCAGCTGTCATAGATTTAGACACACGTACTGCATTGGTGCCACTTGTGGTCACTTTAATTTGTGATAGTATTCAAATGATTGACCTTAAGCTTTCAGTGTCTCACTTTTTGACAATATTGTCATGGATATTTAAGTAAAATCTAAAAGTTTAAAATATTGTTAAACAAAAGTTGTCAGGTGTTATCAAGCAAATACAAAAACAAGCAGGCTGATTTCTGATAATCATATATTCCCTTATTCATCCACAGGGAACTGCTTTTAAATAACAACCAGTTGCGGGTTCTGCCATTTGAATTGGGGAAACTGTTTCAGTTACAAACACTGGGGTTGAAAGGTGAGTGGCTTATCAATGTTTTCAGCAGCCACTTCAGTCTTCAAATCCCATTGTTCTCTTAGCAGTTGTTCAAGGACCTGTTGCTTTTCCTTTACCAGGAAACCCACTTGCACAAGAAATTATGAGCCTCTACCAGGAACCTGACGGCACGCGAAGACTGCTCAACTACTTGTTAGACAATCTGGCAGGGGCCATCAAGCGCAGTGAGTCTCCTCTACTTTGGGCATCATAAGACTTGAAGAAGAATCTGAAGAAGAATCTCATGTTATTGTTTTTAATTTTCCTGTCAACCATACGTAGATGGGGGCATGGTCGACTTTCGTGTCCCCTAATCTTGCTGAAGTCTTTGTGTGATGTCTACGTCCATGTCCTCCTCCACTGAACACTTTTCTCCTTCTGCCCAGTACCAACAGAACAGCCCCCAGCTCGGTCATGGATCTCTCTTCAGGAACCAGACCGAACGCGGGCCTCAGGTGAGGAAAGGATTCACAAAATATGGACAGAGGCACATATTATATGCAAACTAATTTACCATACTATAGCCACTACATAGATAATTGTAGTGTAGTGTAGTGTAGTTCATCTCCAGTAGTATCCATTTTGTTTTTTCGGCACATACGTGTTGTTTAAGGGAAAAATAAACTGGCTGTAGACAGAAAAAAAGGTAGATGCACTCTGCGATGAGTATAGCAGCACAGAGAAACACAAGGACCTGAACACTGTCTAATTTGCTCAGAAAAAAAAAACCCTCTGTGGATTTTTTAAAGGCTGAAAGGAACCACAGTCATACTTAAACTTCTGTCCAGGTGGTAACAGGTGACCCCACACCTACCAGTGAAAGAATGGTCAGCTAGAGCAAAGTCTGCACAAGTATGGCATCAGTTGACACAACAGTTTTCCCACAAGTTGAAAGGACTAGAGAGATTTACACCACACAGGGTGGCAGGAAAGCTCTGCTCCTTGCGGTGGCTTTATAGAGGGAAGTAACTATAAAACCAACAACCAACCAACAATAAAACTCCTCTTTCCTCCACCTAGAGAGTATTAAAAGGTCAAATTTATGGGTTATATCAAATAAAAATGTTTTTTGTGTCTTTTACTGATGGTTAATGTAGGGTGTCAGGCATACCCAGGTACTCAGAGTTTATATCTTTTAGTTGCTTTATGGAGCCGTACCTCTAAAATTTTACCAGCAAAATCAGGCAGGAGAAAAAAGTTTGCTGTAAACTCTGGCTGGCTCTAATCCAAAACTTTGTGCCAGTTATTGAATTGAATCAAGGACAAGTTTTGTAGAAAGTGCCCAAAAAAAGATTCTTTGGGGAGAAAAAATAAACAAATTTGCTGTGTTTTTTTTATTTGTTTGCATTAAGGCCTGATTTGTATTTGTATTTGAATCCACATCAAACTAATGTCCTGTCTTACAGCTGAAACTGTTAAGAGGATTAATTCTTGTGTGCCTTTGCTATCTGTCAATTATACCCTCAAAACCGTAGTTGGCAGTGTGGCTGGTTTGCAGCTACCCTGCTTTCCTGCCATACTTGAGACAATGAAGACAGACAGTGTATGTTGGAGTTGTGGCTGCAAACAGTTAATCATGAGTCAATATTTATTTAAACCACTACAACAATTTAATATTTAAGCTTTCCATTACACAACAGTCAAGCATGACTAAGGCCTAACTCCAGAGGGAAGAAAAACACTAAACACTAAAGGGCATTTCATAGATGTACCTTGTCTGTCTCTCCCTGCAGCACTCTTCTCTGTGATGTGCTACAATGTGCTGTGTGATAAATACGCCACACGACAGCTATATGGCTACTGCCCCTCTTGGGCTCTAAACTGGGAGTACAGGAAGAAATCCATCATGTCGGAGATTCTGGGCTGCAACGCAGACATCATCAGTTTGCAGGTGAGAGCTGGACATCAAAGCATGTTGTACCCATGCAGAGTTAGTGTTTGACTTGTATGTCTTTGCAGTTAAGATACAAGACATAGTGTTGGTAGCAGGATAAATTTGGCCACACATGATACAATCATAGCAACACTATAAATATTATTCAGTTGAAGGACCAAGCAATAAATGTTTCCTTCCTAGAGAGCTGTGGTCGGCACTGAGACATATGCCACTAACTATTAATCTCTTTATTTTCTCATTTTGTTTGAATAGTTCTGAATGTTTTTCATGTTACACAAGGAGCTAATGTTAATACTATTCACATAATTTGAATGTGTGTTGATGTTGGAGGTGTTTAGTGAGGGGTGTAAGCACTTTTATCTGCATGTGAAGTTGTTCATCTGTTTTCAATTAGTTAGTCATTTCTGTTCTTTGTAAAACCATAATTTTGCAAATAAACTTACAAAAGTATTTTAAAACCATTTTCCCCCTAAATGTTATTGGATGCACTCGCGTCATTGGAAGTTCTTAGAAGTCAACAAAGGATCACATGCACACAAACGCTCCTTTGTGTCCCACGAAGAGTTATTGGCTTATTCCCTCCCCTCCATAACTGTCAGGCTCCTCTTTCCATCCTGACACACACTCTGTGATTTACAGGAAGTGGAAACGGAACAGTACTACAACTTCTTCCTGCCTGAGCTTAAGGAGCAGGGATACGACGGGTTCTTTAGTCCAAAGTCACGAGCCAGGACTATGTCGGAGTCGGACCGTAAACACGTGGACGGTTGTGCAATTTTCTACAAGACAGAAAAGTATGTATCTGCAAAATTTAGTCGCTGTTGTCTCAGAGCCTTTTAAAAGACTTGCAATTAACAACAACAACAAAAAAATCTTCTTCTTCTGAGGAATGTATGAGCTTGAACTGTGAGGTTTGACTTCTGTTACTTTTTTTTTTAAATAGTGTCAGCTGCAAAAAGAGGTATTAAAGAGTAACTTTATTGGTGAGACACACTGTTGATTAAAACAGCGGGACCGGTTATGAATTCCAGGGACTTTGAAGTCAGTAACTCAATGTTTGATATGAAAATGATCAGATCAGATCAGTTCCCTTCCCAAAGTATCATCTCGTACTGTTTAACTGTCGGGTAATTATAGGTTTTCAGCAGGCTGTAGAGCTCGCAGTAGTCCCAGAAGAAAGTTATGGATTCATATAGGAAAACTTTGGCTTCTGCTGTTGTGAGTGCTGCGTGTGGTAAACTGTATTCTGTTTTTGTTGAGAAGTGTATCAGCTCGATAAGGCTTTAACAGCCAACCAATGAAAAGAGTTTTTAAAACAGCGATAAAGTGAAGGTCAACAAGGTTTTCATTTCAGTCTTTAGATGGTTCTACCAGTGATTGTGCCTGTCTTTGTGACACATTTTGCCTCCGTTATCTTGATGTTGACCTTGCTTTCACACTTGAATGTAGTTATTTAAGGATGAATAAAAAGCAGGATCATTCATAGCTTTTTAAGGTGGATTTAGAGGGTTTATTTTCACAGCAGTCTCAAAGTTAGGCTTATTTACTCCAATGTACAGCCAATTACACTATTAAGCACTAACACTAGGAAAATCAGAAAAATTGAATTTTTATTATAGAACGAGACTGTCCCATTGTTTCATGCTTTGATAAGTCTTTAAATTCTGCTCTTGCTGTTGTTGACCAGTTGTTTTCAAGTCTGTTAAGAAGGGGTGCAACAGGTCAAAAAATCTCCTGGTTCAGTTCATTTTTTCAGACTGGCCACGAAAAACAAATATCTTACTTTACTGCAACTCGTGTATGGAGTGTGAATGGAATAGTCTTTAACTTGCAGCTAAAAGGAAGAGGGAACCAACCCAGTGCAAATTATGAAAACTTGGAAAGAATTCCATCCTTCTGTATTTTAAATACTTACGTTGTGTTGCGCAATAAGAAAACGTATTTTCTCTCGACTGTGCAGGCGTCACGTCACTGCCGTCTAATGTGTTCTGAAGGTGCCCATAATGACGGTCACCAGTCCTGTAGTGAATCGCCCCACGATTAACCATACTCTGTGAATAGTGGGACAGTGATAACTGGGCTGTTTCTCATACTTGCGTTAACTTGATGCGGGGACGAGTGCGTCGGAAAAACGGGAACAGGGACTCACGTCTTGTTATTGTACACCGTGGTGGTAAGTTTTCCCTCCGTCCACAGATCACACAGTCAATGATCTGTGATCATTCAGAAGAGGAGTATTCCCACATATGTTGAAAAACCTAGATAGAGCCATCCATGCTCTTCTGGCTCCAATTTCCTCTAGCAATGTCCCCTGGGTCAGTGTAGGTTGCTGCTGAAAACCAAGAGTTTGAAAATGTACAAAATCTGGAGGTGCAGCTTCAGAAAAAGCGCTCACTGGACCTGTGTTGTTGTTGTCGTCGTTGTTCACTTTTCCGCTGGAGGCTTACAGCTTCAGGCTTCAAAATCAGCCGTAATAAGCGTAACAGAGCTGTTGCAAAGTTGTTGAAATAGGGACATAGTTTTTGCTGTGCACAGTTAAGGAGACATTTTGAGTGTTAAGGCATTAATGTTTTATTCAGTTACAATTTGGCATTGTACCACTGTCAGACTCTTGATGAACCACATATTCAAACCTCCTCAAATGAGAGTAAAAGTTCATTGAGTTACATAAATTATTCGAGAGGGGAGAGAAAGGCCTAGCACTTCTCTTACACATTGGTATTTGTAATTTCCCTCTAGTAGAGGGTTAAGTGGTTTTATTAGTGCATGCACTGTTTATCGAAGGTTGAAGTTTTTATTTGAGAAATGATGAACAGAATATTTAAAACACACAAGTATGCCCAGCTGAAAGAGGCTCAAGTTTTATCTGAAGAGCAGCAGAGATGAATGGCATTTGTGTTTTGCCAAGACAGGGGAGTTATAGAGTTGCAGTGGACAATAAAACGGTTAAATCCATCCACTGGCAACAACATTAAATGAGTAAAATTTATAACTTAATATCTAATCTCTTAATATCTTCTTGCACTTTTACTGTGCAGTAATGTCGTATTTGTAAATCGATGGTCATTAATTTGTCAAAGTATAAACAATCAGTACTTGCTTTCCTGCTGTAGCATATAAATCCTTTTTGTACAGTGTTTTGTTTGAGTCAGATAATACGATTGACTAAATCACCCAACTGTGACCCATTCTGTCTGTGAAATTATGAGAGGAGAGGAAAATAATGACGTGCCAAGTAATTTGAGCTTTTATGGGATGCAGCTACAATCCTTTTGACAGCAAGAACAGAACCACCTGGAGTTTGGTTTGAATGTTTCCAATGACCGGCCCTCAAATTTCTTTCATGACCCTGGTGTTATGAGCATCACACCGGGGAGGACAGATGTGATTTTATTAATTTACCAGGGCTGTACAGTGTGACATATATGTCACGAATGCTACAAGAAAGTCGTCCTGTACTATGATTTATTTATTTAATGTTTGTCTCATGGCACCGGTGCGATAGGAGTAGTCGCTGTGTACATTAGTGTATGTATATGCGTGTGCCTTACTCACTCAAATGTAGTATGGTAGTTGCTTGTTATTTTGTTTTTTGCCTGGCTGAAGACTACACACCGCACACCAATTCCCATAACTCCTTCACTGTTCTGTAACTTCTAGCAAGTCAGAAGCGCAAATCGTGAGATGAGACCTGAGAAAAACAAGAGAGGGATTATTCGTTTTTCAACTTCAGTTGTCACGGATATCCTCGGTTATTTTGCAGTTGCAATGTTTGCAACATTTACATTACATTTTCTGGTACTTAAATTGTGGATATTGGATATAGTGGTACTTTTCTTTTCCCTTTTTCCTTTTCCTAAAATTTTTCTTAATTATTACATTTATTTAAGTTTATAACAGTCTTTATTTTTATAACTGCATTTTTGCACTCTTTGTCTGTGATGCTGCTGTGACGAAAAAAATTTCCCCGATGGGATATCAATAAAGGAATATTCTATTCTATTCTATTAACATTTATGTACTGCATGTACGTGTCTTTTGCCGGTCACACAACCTATTTCTTTACATAGATATGTCATATATTGTGCTATAAGTTTTTGTCGTATGCTACAAGGTTGTCACCCTCTGTCGCACCAGCGCTATGGACAAACGAAGTTAACATACAGCCGTGTTTACTTTCATTGCACACTGGGGTTGAGCTCTGTTTATGTTCCTTTGTTTCTATCTCAAGGTTCAGCGCTGTGCAGAAGCACACAGTGGAGTTCAACCAGCTGGCCATGGCTAACTCCGAGGGCTCAGAGGCTATGCTGAACAGGGTGATGACAAAGGACAACATCGGGGTAGCTGTGCTGCTTGAGGTCCGCAAAGAGATGATGGAGGTCTCCTGTGAGTACACAGCCTTCTCTGATCTTGAACATCCCTCATACTAGAGTTCTACTAATGAGATTTTTTTAAGCCTTTTGGTTTTTCCTGCTGATATTAAACAGACAAATGTTTAAAAATTCACTTTGAAGGCAAAGTTTCAAAAAAGAGGATAGCGATTGGCGTTATTGGTGGTGCAAGAGTCACTTTTCTTTAGTTAGGGGCGTGCGATCTGACAATGCACAGAAATAGTACAACCGTCTGGAGTGCATATTGTATCCCTAACAAGTAAATTTTTTTGCGCATATTTTAATTTACCTACAGAATTAATGTTTTACACGTTGATAAAAGTAACTGCAGTAGCGAAAAAATCTGCCGAAAAAACAAGATACAGAATCCACTTCCTCTTTGCTCCACTCTGCTGCGTGTGTATCTTCTCAGGCTGACTCACACACACACGCCCCTCCCCCTCAGTCCTCAGTAAACGTCCAATCACTGTTTAGTATGCAAATGAGCCAGCAGGTAGCCAAACTATGGTGTCAGGTTTCAGCACAGAGGGTAAGATTTAAAAGAAGCAGCAGAGCTTTGCCAGAATTTGTCTTTGTGACTCGTGAGATAGTTAATAATAGAAAAAACAACAACAAAAACAAGTAATGTTAACTATAACAGTGGAGTGGAGAGAAAAAAAAGAGGAGTGAGAGAAATGAGAGGAGATTTTTGAGCTGTTTAGTTGAGACCAAAAACAAAAGAACCTGCCAAAAAAAAAAGAAAATGAAATGCTCTTTATCTGGTGTGTATTTAAATGTAGTTTTAAGTGATTTTTAATATTTATAAGACTATAAGACCATTTTTGTAAATATAAACTTTTATGTGTGAAGTCTTATTTTAGGTTCAAATTTATTTGAGAATGAGACCATCCAGTTAAGATCAATTTTATGCTGTTTGTTGTTAAAATCTGGATATTTTATTTTATTTATTATTTCTATTCCCAGGCCTCCCCCCTGGAAAATAGATAAAATGGTGATTTGTTATTTTGCAAAAAAAAAGCGTTATATGAAATTTTTTTCCATATCACCCACCCCTACATATAGTTCCTCCAGATTCTCCTCAAATATAGTGAGTTATATGGGAGTCTCAACACATCCAAGCTTAAAATTTGCCCCAACAAGTATCCTTTTGTATGTTCCTGATGAACTTTACCAGCTTTATTCAAATTAAGTGGGGTTGGCCATGATAGCTTTCATGTTTGTTAGCAGTTCTGTGTGTCTATTTACTGAACGATATGAGCTTACGGCACAGTAAACATCATTGTGCTGATGGAAGTATGATCTGGTTTGATGATCCTTTTTTTCGTGTCTTGGGTGTTCGTAATGTGATTGTGATACTATTGAGACCCAAACAGAGACTGCTAATACTACTATACGAATTTGAAATGCTCTTTATCTGGTGTGTTTTAATTTAGTTTTGAGTGATTTTTAATATTTCTATGACTATAAGACCATTTTGGTAAATGTTAACTTTTATGTGTGAAGTCTTATTTTAGGTTTAAATTAATTTGAGAATGAAACCATCCAGTTAAGATCAATTTTGTGCTGCACAGAGAAAGAAGGACTTAAGCACAAACCAGTCTTACAATAACTACATGTCAACATCGCAAGCAGGGGAAGAAAAAAATATGTTCCATGTAATTAAGTTTGCTGTAGGAGGCGGGGTTAATGGCCTATACTGCAACCAATCACAAGGGGGTGCTGTTCTCACTGAGCCTTCACCCTGCACCCATTCTGTGTAGAGTCTACAGACCCATAACTGTTGACAGTTTCGAAAATTGGCATGAATTAACTGTAAAAAAAATGCCACTCAAAGTAATCAGCTGGAGTCTCTCCCTCAAACTCTCACTTGCTCTCTTACTTCCTGTCCCGGCCACCCGCTGGTCAAAATCCAGATTCTGTTAAAACAAGAGTAGATAATTTCTGGCCTGGACTTCCATTCTCCAAGTTTTACCAATCAATTGTGATACTATTGAGACCCAAACGTAGACAACATGGCTCTGCCTCCAATTACTATACAAATTTGAAGCCAAATTGTTCTTGGTATTTCTGGGATTTGCTGCATTACCAGAGTTGCTGTGATGACGCTCTGCTCAAACAGCATGTCACCCTGATGATCTACGCAGTTCTTGTATGTGCATAGGCTGTATCAAGTGTCAATCATAGAAAGCATGACCCCAAATAACTGTTTAAAAATGGAGCTGCACAGAGAAAAATGGACTTAAGCACAAACCAGTATTTTCCTACTTTTTCATCTAATGGAAATCACATCCCTGGTTCTTACAGCAGTGTATAGTGCCTTTCTGTATCTCTTGATATCCTTAGCTCTTTCTATCTGGTAACTGTTCCTGCATTCTTTCAGCTGGAAAGTCTCTCCATGGCATGGAGAAGCAGCTGCTCTTGGTAGCCAACGCCCACATGCACTGGGACCCAGAGTACTCTGACGTCAAGCTGGTGCAGACCATGATGTTCCTGTCAGAGGTGAAGAACATCGTGGACAAGGCCACACGCAGCCTCAAGTTATCCTCCGTCTCTGGTGAGACCAACGCCATTCCACTGGTGCTGTGCGCTGACCTCAACTCCTTGCCCGACTCTGGTAAGAGTGAAGGAAAATCTGACATATTGACTGAAGCTTTAACAGAAAACAAAAAGTTCAGGTGATACATAAATAACAAAGAATACAAAATTAGAAATATGCTTAACCATGTAATGGAAGGCTGTATTTACTGAGGGCTTAATTCCAAAAGTGTCTTTAAGCGATCACACAATTATTCTTATCCAAACTTTGACTTGCTGTCCGGGATTAGGATCCATCAGTGGCTGTTTCTAGACTCTTTTGCTGAAAAAGAAGCTGCATTGCTCAGGAGTGTGATAAATCCGTTGAGCTGATTATCCCAAGCAGTGGAGAATTTTGCTCTCTATTGTGGACATGCACAAGTACAGGTCTATCCAAATGAAACAGGCACTGGATCCTGATATTCAGTGTGTGATCATCAGATGATATTAATCATTGTTTACTTCTTCAAACACCAGGTGGTGGTGTGTAATGTGAGCTTGTGCATTTGAACTGTTGACAAAGTGCTGAACTTTCACTCAGCACACTCAACATATGGAATATATTCTGTAAAGCTCCTGTAGTTTATAAAGAGCATCCACACACTGATGAACCAGTGTTTTTCCTGACCTCTGGTGACAACCTCAGGTAACATGACAAAGAGACCACTCCTGCATGTATGGTGAGTCAGACTAAGAATCAGGTCCAGGTTGCTTTATTAGGGAGATTTGTTTTGCAAACAAACATAGCATAAAACCACACAAAGCAACCAGAATAAACAACTACTAAAACACAATCAAACATGATAACACTGACTGAGTTTTCTTGTACTTGTGCTCCCTGTACCAGCTCACAGAAACACTCTGAGACAGAAGCCTCACACACACACAGCAATTCCAGACAGCACCAGAACAGAGTTCTGCCATTGCGTCCATGTACTTACACATTGTGCTCTTAAATGGCGTAATAATGGTTCCCTGGTGTGTGATTTCAGCTCTAGAGGCATGGTTTGTCAACACACAGCTGAGGCGTCACACAGACAATTTAAGGACACTCTCTGTGTCGTATGATTTCACCATTGCCCTCCTCCCTACTTGCCTTCTGGCCTGCACTCACACTGCTCCAGATGCTATCAGCCTGAGTATGATTACCTATGTCACAGACAGAGATATGTCTCCTTCGCCATGTGATGCCCTTCATCTACAAGAAGCCTTGTACAGAGAACACGACTGCAACTTCACTGACTTTAAAGCAAAGTTCAGGGTGAACAGTTTTTTCTACCAGACATTGTTCATATTTCAGGATTCTGGCTGTAAAGAACAACTATTGGACATGCGGTCTAAATTTGATCTAACAAATTACAGTTTAATTTTTTAATGAGTTAATCCATTAATTTAATCTGGTTATTTTTTTATTACAATGATGCACTGAGAGACGGTGTATCCTGCTGCACTGAGAGGGAGAGGAGAGAGGGGGGCAGCACCCTCATCATGTACCAGTGATTAGGTTTTTTTAGTTTTCTAATTATCTTTCTCTGGTTTTTAACTTCTTGGTTTATGACCCGTATGTCACCTTATTGTAAAATATCCCATAAGAGGCAGAGAACAGGTATTAGTTCTCAGTGTGTCTTTATCGTCTGCATCCATCTACAAAGCTGTTCCAGTTTTTCTCTAAACTTCATCCTGATCAGCATGTAGAAGACTCTACAACATGTTCATATGAATCAGTGCAGGAAGACATGATCACTCTACCTACCCCCTCTGTCAATATAATATCTCATGTTTTAGCTTAAGCAAAAAAAGAAGTTAGATGTTTCACTGCACCTTGCATACATGAACAACCATACTTTTCCATGCCAAAATCCGCCTCTTCCAGCTGCGCCAGCACCAAGAAAACATACCATGCTTGGGGACGGTACAGTGCACTCACACTGGCCCAAAAAACTGGCATGTTGGACTTCTAATGACCCCCTAAAGTCCGGAGTTCAGAGTGTGTTCTTAGACATGTACATGGAGCCCTGCAGGCTCAAACACCACATCACCTCTGCCACTACCCCTGTCCATATAAAACACTTTCCAACTTACAGTCATACATAATCTAGTGCAGCATTACACCACAAAACATGCATCTAAATTATGAATCAGTCAGTAAAAGACTGGATGTGGACTTGCCTTTCTGTGTGCATGACCTTCCCACCAGTCTCTTTGTTGAAGAGCAGTTAAACATCAATTTCACTTTAAGTGTTGCACTTTACCTGCTTTAACTTGCCAGCATCTTTCATTTTAGCCCTCAAGATGGCAAAATGATGGCAGAACATTACATGGCCTGCAGTGTAGGGCAGATTGATAACCTTTTGTCTTTTTGTTACAGCTTATAACGATGATAACCTTCAATGCAGAAAATATCACAGACGGGGCTCAGTGTGTTTAAGATCCTCTTGACTTTCTCTGATTCTGATGAAGTTGGCTTCTTGTCTCCCTCTGTCTCTGTCCAGGCGTGGTGGAGTACCTCAGTTCTGGCGGAGTGGACTGCACCCACAAGGACTTCAAGGAGCTCCGTTATAGCGACTGTCTGACCAAATTCAACTGCAACGGCAAGAACAGCACGTCCAATGGCAGGATCACCCACGGCTTCAAGCTGAAGAGCGCCTACGAGAACGGCCTGATGCCTTACACCAACTACACCTTTGACTTCAAGGTGATTGTACTGACCAATCTAGTAAACAATGCTTCTTGATAGTTGATTAAACTATTCTTATTCGCCGGGTCCTCTAGTACACAAAAAAAATGCTGAAAGTGCCACGACTGTGCTCAGGAGCTTGATAAAATGCCGTTCTTGACTCAAAAGTTCCTCTTAAGTTGAAACCCCTTTTCATCTCTCTTTCAGGGTGTCATCGACTACATTTTCTACTCGAAGCCTCACCTGAACGTGCTGGGTATCTTGGGCCCCCTGGACCCCCACTGGCTTGTAGAGAACAATGTCAGCGGCTGCCCACATCCCCACATCCCCTCAGACCACTTCTCCCTCTTCGCCCAGCTGGAGCTGCTCCTGCCCAACTTGCCCCCCCAGGTCAACGGGCTCCATCTGCCTGCACGCAGGTAGTGAGTCCCTGCCGCACCACCAGGGGGAGTTGCCACCACAGCCTCTCCCTTTTTTTTCAGCCCCTCTCCTCCTCCTCCTCCCTCCCACTACCAGCTCTTCCCTCCACCCCACCGGAGGAGGAAGACAAAAAATAAACACAACCTGTAAAATATTCGTACAGTGAGGTCTGGCCGACAGGGATTTCGTAAAATGTTATAGATATTCTATATTTTTCTTTTTTTCTTTTTCTGTTTTTCTTTTTTTTGGTTCTTTTTTTAACTGCTCAATTCAGTCCCGTTTGTGTATCATATTTTGTGTTTTGGACCCCCTCTCTCCTCCTCAAATCCACCCACCCACCCACTTTGCTTCTGTCAAACTAGAGGGGATGGTAGCTCATTCAGATTTATCACATGGGGCACTGTTTGGTTTTTAAGAGCAACCGGAAACCCTAAAAGCGGCTGAGGGGATAATGTTGACCAGAAAAGCTGATGGTCTGCCTGTCTGTCTGTCCTGTACAAATCTGAAACCAGCAAAGACAGCAGACTTGTCAGTCTCAGACCTCCATCATTGGCTCATGCTTGTTTTCCCCAGTACTCTGGGAAGTTGGTGTACTTTCTCAGTCTTTCTAGGATACAAACATTTGTTGTCGTTGTTGTTGGGTTAGAGCAGCTTTAGCTGGTAGTTAAACATCCCCGGAGGTGGATGTAGAGCAGCTTGTACGAGGTGAGATATCCTGCTGTCATTCTGTGGTGCTGAGGCCTTTTGTGTGGTCACGGCCTCCCCGTGGTGCTACAAGATAGTCTTCACCTCTGACCCCGGCCCCGCTGCATCAGCTACCAAACCCGCAGATGCCTCAAAAACCAGACATGCGGGAACAACGCCACCCTTGTTAAGCAAAGTGTAAATTTGTCAAGGAAGGATATGTGAGAAACTGAGGGCAGCTACCATCCTGTTCGCAGACTGTTTCACCCAAGCTTGTATAGTTGTTAGGCTAGGCTTGTACTTAGGGGCTCACCATTTTTGTTTTGGTTGAGGGTCAGGGGAATAAGGCTGATGGGCAAAGCGTTGAGGGGCTTTCATAAAATCTTTTCTTTGTCTTGATTGCTTTGTAGGCAGCGAGAGTGAGTAATGGCTGATACACAGGAGTAAAAACCAGCATTCCTCTCACTGTCTGGGGTTGTCAACCAACTCCACACATGCAAGCTTACACACAGACACACACAGACACATAACACAGGTAATTTTTGCAGGCAGATCTGTAGCACTGTCTCCGAGGCCAGTAGTGACTTTCCCCAGCCATAAAATCCATACACGAAAAGCAGTGGTTTTTTCACAAGTGTTTGTACAGAATAGAAATCTAGACTCAGTCTTTTCATGATTGTATATGAACCACAAAAGACCTGTTTTCTGGCGTTTTTTGTACTAAGAGTAAATTATGATCAGATTTGAAAAAAAAAAGATTGTATTGTAAACTATGGCTAAATTTTTATCCAGTTAATGTTAAGATGAATTGATATTACCAGCTTGTACAAAAGACGTAAGAAGAGGTTGTTCAAGGCGTTCGCTGTCACTACTTTGCACTCCCTGAAGATTAACTGTAATTAATGTATCAGTATTGTTTTGTCCTCTTCTCCCCCTCACTCTCTGTCTCTCTCTGCTGTTGGTTTTGATTTGCCGGCACATTGCTGCGATTGTAAATAGACACTTGAGTAAACTTCTGCCCGTTGCTTCTCACCCATTAACAAAAGCCATCGATCCACACTGCTGCCATCAGTCCTGACAAAAAAAAAACAAGGACCCTCCAGTGACTCCACATCTGTTCATGTATAGACCTCACACTCACTCCTGTCATAGTGACGTGTGACTGACACAGTCCCACCTGTACAACAAAACATCGTGCCTCACTGTAGCAGTTGTTGTCTTGCACTATTTACATTTGTCGAACGCCTGAACAACCTTTTCTCCTTTTATTTTTAAATACTGTTGAGACATTTGTGAAGATTTTATGTCCTTTTATTGGTTTTTGTTAATGTTGATTTCCTTTTTTATGAGCTGTGACAATGTTATGACGATGTGTATAGCCTTCCTATTCATCAAGCTCTCTAGTAACCAGGTATGCTTTCTCCACCCATCCTCTCTCTTCTCCCTTAAAGGAACATGAGCAGGATGTCTTATCTTGATCAAATCCACTCTTCCCAGATTGTTTCGCTTCCTCTTTGTACCTCAGAACAGCTCCGTGCCCACAACCCCTTAAGATACGCAGCCCTTAGCTCTTTCCCTGGCCATGAATTTTAAATCTCCTTAAGCCTGTTCGTCACCTTGTACCCTCCACCCTTAGACTTGTCGACTCCCTATACTACTCAAGCTGTGTCCTTTTAAACCCCTTTTCTCAACCACTTTGTATAGTTCTCATTCCCTACGTCACTGCAGCTATAGTGCCATCTGTGGACCCCCTACCTCTGTATGGGACAAGGTGGAAGGCCCACTTAGCTCTGCTTATGGATGAAGGAGGGAGGAGAGGCTGTGAGCTCAGCTTATTCTCTCTGTAAAGCCAGAAAAACACCCCAAACAAACAAACAAACAAGCAAACAAAAATCCATCATGGTGAGACAAATGTTTCCACAGCCATGCTCTTACACAGCTATGATGAATGATGAGCACTTAGTAGATTCGGATGCAGCTCCCCTCACTCCCTGTTCCATCTTAGTAGCAAATAAAGATCTCGTGACTTTGATGTATATGTTGAAAATGACATTTTTAAAGCAAGAGGGAAGTAAGTAAATAGGAAGTGTAAGTTTAGTCCCCAGATCAGCGTCTCTTGTCCCATTTATTTCCCCCCTCCATGTTTTTTAACCTTTTTTTTTCTTTGTTTTCCATTGGAAACCAATGTGTCCAGTTTGATTTATTTTCCTGAATGGCATTAGTATTGTAGTAGATTTAAAGGCTAGCTTTTTTGTAAAGTGTGAATAAAAGATGTATCTCATGTTTCCTTTCTAAAAAGATATTGAATTGTGTTGTTGATGTGTAAATCATGAATTCTATGATGGTGTTATGTTTGCTACATTGTTTTTATTTTTACTCCAATATATTTCTTTCTCTCATATACTCCCATCACAAACCAAATCCTGTAGAAATCGTGTTGAGACATTGTCTTGGTGGGTTGATTGGAGGAGTTGAATGTTTCTGATGATGCCTCGTAGAATGAAGGATTAAGCGCATACTGGAGGAAAAGCAACCTGCATCGTTGATATCGGTAAAATCTTTCAGCACAGGGATACTCAGTTTATTTGTTCTTATTTTTGGACTTTTCAGCTTTATGTTGGATGTTGCATGGCACTAGCTGGAGAGTGCTGGTGCCTGTAGGTTAGGGCAGCAGAGCTGTCTTACTAGTGGCTCAGTTCAGTACTAGAGAAAACTGTTCTGACTGGTGTAAAAACGTGTTTGTAAGACTAAGCTAACAACCTGCCGCTGTTCGCTAGACTGGTCCTGTGATGATTTTGAGTACTACTAGTCCATCTCACTCTGTTCTTGTGCATCACAGTGGTTAAATCTGTTACAATAGCTAGCTACTTTTGATAGTCACTGATTTGTCTCTTATTCTCTTCAGTTGCACCCCCGCCTTCCATCCCTTTCCTTCTCATTCTTCTATCCTGTAATACCACAGACTATGGCTTCTGACTGAAAATCTGGCAAATCACACAGCTGAGTTGACTCCTTGTAAGCTTCGGCGGGTGATCACACTGTTGGCTTTGTACTTTTCCACTGCTGCATTGTGTTTCATATTTGGCTTGTTAGGCGTAGAGCGATTTCCCAGGCTGCATCTCTGTAACGGTGCACACCAAAGCTGCTTGTAGTTGAATTCTCCGTTGTAGAGCAACTTCTTTCCACCAACCAGTCTCATTTTTTTATATTATTCTACAAATCATAGTATTCATGAAATGTTAGGGCTGTAAGGAAAGCAAGGTACTTTTGTCCTTTTCCTTGAATCACATGAACACGTTAGATCCATACCCATCCTCTTCTTGGTTTCAGTTTGAATGCATCCTTTTTCCCAAAAAACTTGGCAATAATACCCAGTAACATCTAGACACATATTCAGTATGGGTTTTTTAAATATTACATCTGACAAATGTAGCTATTTCATCTATAAATCTGTGGTCGTGTTTTCTGTTTTCCTTTCTTTTTTTGCTTTCCAACTCTCAATCTTCAGCCCAGTCCTTTAAACAGCCCCGCCCCCCTCTCTCTTTTGTCACCCATCTTGTATATTTGCTCATGCTCCCCCTCTCTTCCTCCCCGCCGATCTAGTTGTAGCTGTTCAATGATCAGGATTGTCTATCTGTAGTCAGCTGAGTACATATATTGATCTGTGTCACTGTGTTTATGCACTGGACCAACTATTGTTTACCATTCATGAAATACCAGCAAAAAAAGAGAAGAATAATGACAAAACACTTGCACAATGTTGTAGAATGTCCATTAACCCAGATGAGAAATCAAGGCAGCTGTTTTCAAATCAACACATACTGTTTTAAAAAGAAACTGAATGGTAAACAATGCTTTTCTGTTGTACCCCTTAGCCGTCCTCTTGATTCTCTTTGGACTAGTTTTGTTCTTTTTGTTTATTTTTTTCTTTTTTTTCTGTTTGACTACAGGTTCTGCTTGTTTCCTTTACACCTACCTATGTATTTTCCTACTTCTGGTTGAAAATAAATTCTATATTATCTGTTTCAAGCTGTGTCACCTTTTATTCTTTGCAATGGATATTGAAAATAAATTCTATATCTGTTCTCCTTGTATGGCCTCCTTTTGCTTCCTTGTTAAATTCTTTCCATATTCTCTCTAACACAATTCTGCACATTTTCTGTTAATTTTTTCCTCCTTCTTGGTCCAGTCACCTTATCAACTATTGAAAATGCAGAACGTGAGGTTGTTGCCCCTTCTTTATTTTCCACCACATCTCTCCAGATTCTAACAGCTTTGTGTGGGGTTTGATTTTTGAGGATTGAAGTGTGTAGAATGAGGTTATGCAAGAAAACCTTTGATCTCAAAAATCATCAGCAGCTAATTAGAAAGATTTAGATCCGACTTAATGATGTGTGTTTGGCTGAATCCGAATATGTAACCCTCTCACAACTGGGTGACAGTCTTGTGGATCGAAGAAGCTAACTTATTTAAAGCCCATGTCAGTCTGCAGATACCTTCCTCTCCCCCCGAAGTGTCCTTCAGCAGGACACCAAAGTGTTATCAGTGCCCTGGGTGCTGTTCTGTAGGTGAGCCTGACCTTTGATTTTTCTCCAGGACCACAAATGAAAAGAGAATTTCCATTGGGGATCAATTAAGTCCAACATTAACGTTTAATACATAGCATAGCCTGAGGACCACAATCGGTGTGTTCTCAGTTGTAAACACACGGTGGAGCCAGAGGATTGTGACCAAACAGAGCTGGAAAATAGATCCATCCATTTCATGGATTAAAGAAGTTACGATGCCAAGTCTGAACGAGTCTCGAAAGGCTCGTAACATCAGCTGGAGTGAATTTAAAGAGAGAAAAAACTGTGAGAGACGGGAAGTTGAGCAGGAGGCTTTAGTACAGACGCAGCAGGAGCACAATAATCGCTCTCAGAGGTTTCCTCAGACACCAGTGAAGTGGATAAGTATATGAAACATTGTGGAATATGTGTCCTGAGCTGTGTATTTAATGTTTTTTCTTCAAACTAAAGATGATTGTTCTATATTGAAAATCACCACTGTCTGCTCAAGCTAACCTTCTTTATATTGATCACTGTTCCTAACTGTAGATACCATACTGCAGCGTAAATCACTGCTTATCATAGTATAGATAATAAAATATATTTTACACCTTGAATATGAGGAGAAAAGTATTTTCTTGTGTAAGTTCATTATTTTGGGTTTTAAAAACATAACTGGCAGGTCTACAATATAATTATAAAGTCTTCCAGGTGCTTTTATGTGAAGGTAAAAAATGTAAAGCTCCTTCAATCTCATCCATTAAAACCTTTTTATGCAATTTTACACCACAAAGCAAACTTACACTAAGGATAATGCATGCCATTCAACAAATTAGGACCAAGTGTGTTTTTCTAAAAATACAACAACAAATTAACTGTGCATAATTTTGGTGCTATCGATTTGTGATTGTATTGACTACCTTTAGCTAGCATGTTGTGGTAATGGGTGGTCATGCTTTAAAACAAGCATAATGTAAAATGTAGATTTACTTTGTTCTTGAATATGTTGTGAATTAAAGTGGCTACAGTGTGACTCAAATGCTAATGTGTCATCATATTGTATGCACAGGGTATAAAAAGAACCTAAAATTAGTTGTTATATGAAATATCTGTCTGAAAGTCTGTAGGCCAACAGTAAATAGAGCGGAGGTTTACTCTCCCTAAAAACTATTTGTCTCAAAGTTATTCAAAAGAAACAAGCAGGAAAAAAAGTTTTCTCTTTTTCTTCTCTCAAAATTAAAAAAAAAAAAGAGAAAAAAATGGAAAACAACAAAAACAACAACAATAACAAGAAGACTGTACCACCACAGCACCCTCCTGTGGGGTTTCTGGGCTAGTTTTGGGCTAGGAACAGCAAACTGTGCCTAGATCTTCAAGCAGATTCATAAGGGTGGATTTTTTTTAAGAATCCATTTCCATTAAGACAAAACTTGAATGCAAAGTAAACAAACTGAGGATATCTCAAGGTACTTTTTTTTTATTTGTAGGTCTTCGCTTGCTTTAAGTCATATATTCTAAAATATTTTGTGTCTTGTTTCTGTTGTCTACATTTGTCAGGCACTTTGAGTTGCTCCAGAGATGAATGGATGAATCAATCAAAAATAAACTTGACTCGCCTCACCTCAACAATGTTCAGAAATACAATTTATTATTTCAGCGGATCATTTGTGTCAAGGGTATTGATCTGTACAAAAATTTCATTACACAAAAACTCTCTACTTCTACTTGAGTAGTAGTAGTTTGTCTTCTTTGACTGAAGCACAAATCTGTCCAACACCTTTCTGTTGGCATGAAAGCTGCACAACCAGTGTTTGATTAATGTGGCATTTATTGAGGTCTTTTGGTTGCGTTAACTTTGCGAGGAAATTAACAGCATTTTTTCACAGAATATTTTCTTTGCAGAACAAACCGCTGCAGCAGCATCCATGAAATCAGTGCTGGTTGTTAACGGACTTGAAGGGGTGTGAGCCTTCATCTCTCCTCCAGAAAGGCGGCACGCATGATGAAGTGGCTGCTGAAGAAACCTCAGAGACTCACGCTCAAGTGCAAGCAAACCCTCACCAGATGCTTGCAGACGAGGCAGGAACAGATGATGATAAATTATGACAAGCTCTGCAGAAGAAAAGATCATTAACACCCACACACCTCTATACATAGAGTAATTACTGCTTGTTAATGCAACAGAGGTTGCATGCAAACAACAACAGAGCTTCCCATTATTCCCCTGAAATGGACTATGACTGAAAATGTGAGTTTTTTCTCGCATGTAACCCTGGACAGTCAGCTTTAATTCAGTTAATCAGCTTTAAATGAGAGTTGGGAAGCTGGAAGGGAGTATCAAAGGCAGTCCAAGAGCTACTTTTCTTCAAGTCTTCATGGTCCAACTTGTTGAAGTGGAAATTTTCTTAAACAAACAGTTGTCCTAATGCGTGTTTGTGTGCGGCTGGACATTAGAGAGAGCAAGAGAGCTTGTTGTTGACAAAGAAAGAATGATTGCGGGAGACAGAAGACAGATTCCTTCTATGCTTCACCCCAAAGTTTGCAGACTATCTGTCTTGTGTTGACGTGGCAGCATGATTGCGAAGCCTGTAAAGTCCTTTGCAGATGCAGAGTCTCCCTATCTCTCCTCTCTTGTTCTTGCTTGTTTTCTTCCTTCTCTTCATCCTTCTTTATTCCTCCTCCCTCAAGCAATCATCCTTTTTTTTTATCCTTTTCCCTGGAAGTGTGTGTCTAAGTGTGCATGCCCGTGTGCTAGTGTGTGTGCGCATGACTACTAGGCCAGTTGCCTGTGTGATGTGCAGCCAACTCCTCCAAACATGCTCTCAGAATACTTCTTTTGGTCTTCATGGCTGTAGATTCAAGTTGTTAAGTGCCAGAAATGAACACATGAAATATAGCTGTATGAGTCTGACTGAGGCTGGAGCAGACACACCGCCAGCACAGCAGGCCGGGGCTTTGCTCAAACCTGATTTTTTTTTCTGGGAATTTTTCTGTGAACATGACCTCAGATAATCCTAAACTGAGCAGCAAACCCAAACAGAGACAGAAGACATTAAGAAGTTTGCACCAAAAGGCTTTTATTGTGAAGGGAATAACACCTGGGGTATTGCTGTTCTGTTAAACAGCACATGCTTTTGTCAGTGCATGTGTGTGTTTTATTACTCTTGTTAAACCGAGGGGTGTGTTTTTGTCCTGTTAGAGAGGAAGGGGAGACCCGGTAGGTATGTGTACTCGTGATGGGGGATGTGCACTGTAAAACAATCATAAACTAGCTTAACTTAAACTGATCCGCATTTAAAACAAGCTCTGACTGAAAGAATTAGTTTAAAGTCCTTCCACCCAACTGAAATAATCCTTGAGCCAAAGAGAAAAAAAAGTTAATCAAACTTAAATAGCCCGCTATCTTATGTGGGATGTTTTTTTCTCTGGGAAATAGCCAAAGCTCAAGCTCTTAAGCTTGACACTGAGACAAGCTTTCGTCGTCTTCCGCCTACTCGGCTTTTATATGTCAACAAACTAACTGTAAGCTTCATAAACTGAAGCTTTACACCATTTGACTCTTTTAGTGGTAAATTTGAGCTTGCTTTGAGCAGTATAGAGACTGATTTCTCTACAAACTATCACTGTGGCAGTGAGAGAACCCTTTAGAACGACTACCCTGAATATTTAACTCAACCTGACATGGCTCATCTCCCATTGCATCAACCAAACCCAACCCGCTTTCTGTCCTGGACTTGTCCTACTCACTATACTGTAGCCTATACCTAAGGGTTTATCAAATTCATCAATACATATCTGCCTCGGAGGGAAATGCCTGATTCATTTTCAGTCCAATCTGATCTAACTTTCAATCATTTTGGTGAAAGATGAAGCAGACTGACCCCCAGCAAAGGTGAAAAAGAAAATGAAGGAATAAAATCATCATACTGTGAATTACACAGAATGTCATATTTGTGTTTGAGCGTATGTACTCAAAGTAGATTAGAATAATGCTTAAACGTGTTATAATGTGATCCTCTTTGTGTTTTAAGACTGTTTCCTGTAAGAGCATGGTGGCCATGTGGCATTTCACTTAATGCATCACTTACCAGATGTGGTGTATTAAGTGTAGTCACCTGTTGCCAGGGCAGACTGGAGTTAAACTCATTAAGACAGGGAACATGAAATTACCCCAAAATGCAGCTTGGGCTGTTATCCAACTGCTGCAGTGTTTTAAAGTTTCATCTTCACATGTGGAAGAGATAATGGAAAACATGACGAATTATCTTTTAAAACATCCTGTTTAATCCGTTTTTGTTTTGTCTCATCCGACTGAGTTTTATCATTCTGCTCTGGGACAAGACCCCCTTAAATACATCTGAAGATGTCATGTGCTGTTTACATCACAAATGGTAAAACTGTGCCATAAAATGTCTGTGCAAGGCAGACAGGCTCTAAACATGAACATGCTTCCTGTCCTGCTCTGGAGCCCAGTATTTGTTA